GACAAACTGGAACGTGTCCAGAGGAGGGCAACCAAAATGGTCAAAGGCCTGGAAACGATGCCTTATGAGGAGCGGCTAAGGGAGCTGGGCATGTTTAGCCTGGAGAAGAGGAGGTTAAGGGGTGATATGATAGCCATGTTCAAATATATAAAAGGATGTCACATAGAGGAGGGAGAAAGGTTGTTTTCTGCTGCTCCAGAGAAGCGGACACGGAGCAATGGATCCAAACTACAAGAAAGAAGATTCCACCTAAACGTCAGGAAGTTCTTCCTGACAGTAAGAGCTGTTCAACAGTGGAATTTGCTGCCAAGGAGTGTGGTGGAGTCTCCTTCTTTGGAGGTCTTTAAGCAGAGGCTTGACAACCATATGTCAGGAGTGCTCTGATGGTGTTTCCTGCTTGGCAGGGGGTTGGACTCGATGGCCCTTGTGGTCTCTTCCAACTCTATGATTCTATGATTCTATAAGAAAAGTTGGCTAGATCAATCCACAGGCCCATCTAATGCAGCATGCTGGTCTCACAGTGGCCAACCAGATGTTTGCCATCTGAGATAAGAAGGTATCTACAGTATGTGAGTGCTATGTGGATTTCTAAAGGGTTTCTTAGATTAGGTTGGGCAAAAGGTAGATCATCAGAATCTCTTGTGGGTCTCCGAGAGATTTGCAGATCAGCCAGTGCTTCTTTCTAATTTCCAATTGTTTAATGAAAATAAAAGGACTTTTTCCACCTCAGTTGGGCTGCTGAAATGAAGGCAGCTTTGAGGAACAGACTTTTGCCTGTGAGCTCAGTTCAGTTCTGGCACTCACATCAAATTCCTAGGTTAAAAATGTGCTCGTGGGAACCCTGCTCTGTAATTCAAAGTGTACGTCCTTCGAGCCGTATGCCTCCGGTCGGTAGATCTTGGTGTTTAAGTAGAAAACAAAGTAGACCCAACAAGCCTAAACCCACCCTTGCTTTAAGTTCCGGCAGCCTCTGTGGGGACTGCATTAAAGAGCACACTTCCATGATTTTAATATTTTGTTGGGAGCCACTCAAAGTGGCTGGGGCAACCCAGTCAGATGGGCAGCATATAAATAACAAAACTATCATTATTAAAAAGTAGAGACATCACCTTGCCAACAAAGGTCCGTATAGTAAAAGCTATGGTTTTCCCAGTAGTGATGTATGGAAGTGAGAGCTGGACCATAAAGAAGGCTGATCGCCAAAGAATTGATGCTTTTGAATTATGGTGCTGGAGGAGACTCTTGAGAGTCCCATGGACTGCAAGAAGATCAAACGTATCCATTCTCAAGGAAATCAGCCCTGAGTGCTCACTGGAAGGACAGATCCTGAAGCTGAGGCTCCAATACTTTGTCCACTTCATGAGAAGAGAAGACTCCCTGGAAAAGACCCTGATGTTGGGAGGGCACAAGGAGAAGGGGACGACAGAGGACGAGATGGTTGGACAGTGTTCTCAAAGCTACCAGCATGAGTTTGACCAAACTGCGGGAGGCAGTGGAAGACAGGAGTGCCTGGTGTGCTCTGGTCCATGGGGTCACGAAGAGTCGGACATGACGAAACGACTAAACAACAACAACAACATAATCATTATTATCTTCTTAAAGAAAAGGTTAGAAAAAGAATAACCGACGAAAATAATGGAAGTAACAGAATACCATCTCTGGCCTTGATTAAACAAAAGGGAAGAAAGGGAAGTTGGAAAAACTCAAAGATGCCATAGCAAATGAATCTTAATGAGCAATGAATATGACTCACAAAATATTGAACTTTGTCTGGAAGAATCTAGGGATTGATAGGAATGGGGAGAATAGACTTAGTGGGGTACAGAAATGTTTCTTTTTCTTTTCTTTGTCCTTTCTCTTTCCTTTCTTAAGGGCAAGTACAGTAATCATTTCTTAAGAATGCAGACCCCATATCAGTTTTGCTGCCCCCTTGTTATGAAAGCACTCAGAAAGAGCGATCGCTGAGATCTGCTGAGTGAGTTCAATGTGGTCTCCGTTCTGGAAACCTCAAAATAACAATAACAAGCAGCGCCAGTGTGAACACAAAGATAAAACAGAGCGCACACATGGGCAGAAAGGAAATAAATTGTTTTACTTCTTTTGCCCCGAACCAAGAGCTAGGATTAGTAATACTTGGCTTCAGAATTTAGCTCGAATTAATCCTTTGAAATGATGAATAAAAAATGTTTAAAGAGGCCTCTGACTATCGAATGCAGGGATATAATGAGGGATGTCTCACCAAGCCAAGAGAGAGAGAGAGGAGATGGAGGAGAAGAATAAATATTCATAAGGAGATTTGAAGGCATCATATGCTTCAGCCATTTGCAAACTTTCTTATTCTCTACAATAAGTATTGAGATTTTAGATGGGACAGAACTTGTGGGTGTGGGATACAGCTTGTTAGAATTCCTGCTCCATGATTGCAGTCATGAGATTGTTGTCTATCACATGACGGTATATGTTTTGACTTCGCAGAGTGGGAAGTAGTGGAGACAGGATGTTTGTGTTACTGTGTTCCGTGAAGTGGGACTATTGTCCTTTGTTCTTTCTCTTTGCTGTCTGATGCTAGAGAGAGTGGGAGCCATGTTGCAGTGCTCCGTGTGTGTTTATATGTAAATAAAGTAGATTAGCCAAAATGCTGAGTTGCTGAGGTCTGTTACGCTGTGATGTTCGGGCTGAAGAAAGCTTTTGAAGCTCCCGAACGATCAACTAGGAGGGAGAGAACATGCCAGTCGGGTATGTGTCTCTGCCAGGGTCCTACTCAAGTGTAGGCTATACTCCTGACACAGCTATCCATTTCCATTACGTTCAACTCACCACATTTCCACATCAGTTAGCGATTTTATTTTTGTTTTTAAAGTCCTCACAAAAATACTAGGATGGTGCTGAACATGGTGCTGTTTCATTGGGGTGGGGTGGGGGGCTTTCAGGGAAGAAGTACTTCCTAAAACCTTTTTCTCTCCTTTCCTGTTCGCTGTCTATTCACTACCCCCACTTGTTTCTTATGCCTCTGTTCCTTATGGCTTTCTTCCTCAGAATGTGATCCAAACCAGTCAGGAAATACAAAGCAAGCATGATGAGATGGTGACGTTACGTGTAGCCAATCAGATTTGGCTCCATGCTGACATCATTAATCCAGTTCAGAATGAGGGCAATGCTTCCCAACCTCCCCCTGATGAGTGAACACTTTTGCCCCCTAACAGTGTGACTCCTTTAAAAATTGCCATAAATTGGGGGGGGGGTGTTACTCTTGCTTTATTTTTATTTTTTATTTTTTTTGTGAAACACACACACACCATTTCAACACAGCTCTGCGTAAATTCTGTGCAGAAATACAGTTTGTCTAATTCCGCTATTCTTTCAGTCTCTCTGGATTTTGTTTTCGAGTCATGAGGTGCCCTGAGCCTTTGGGATAGTGGAGAATTAAAACAATAAATACAAACGTGAAGTGAAGGACATGAGGCAGGAGTTGATAATGCAGGAGAGCTGCAGCAAGCTGCCGGCCAGCTCTGTGGAGCCTCCTTTTATTGATACAATATGCAAACCCAGGCAGATACATTTTGGGCTGTGACCTTTACACATCTTCCGGTCCCGAGATCGTGGGGTGGTACAAAGCTATTTTGGCACCTGTTTCCACCACGTCATTTTCCCCTTGCACAGTGTATGACGAAGGAGACAAAAGGTCTCCAACACAAAGGTTACAGACAGGGCACCGCAGACTTCTGAGACCGCAAAAGGTTAGACAGAGGGCAAAATGTTCAGACAGCTGTGGCTTTGTCTGTGAGGGGGAGTGTGCCCCGCACCCCAAGGTCACACGTGCAGGCAGGCCGAGGCTGCCTGCGGGAGGGGAGTGTGCTCCGGACCCAGCAATCATTCCTACCTAAATGGTGTAAAAAACAACCACAACATCCTCCTATTCAGATGTATCCTTAATAATCACCAGGACAAAGGTGCCTTGAAATTCAAGGTACCCCAACAAATTCCTAGCCAACTGATCTAAGGTCTGCAATTGAATTTTAATGCAAGGTTTCATCCGGGTCCATTCGTATACAATATTGCATTTCCAAAATATGGTTTGCCCCACACACACACCTTGCTCTGTTTGCAAAGTGATTTACAAAGTGCAGGGCCAGGGCTGAAGTGCTTTGCAAAAAGGGAATAAATAAGTGATGAAAGCTCAGATTTGTGGTTTAATCTCTCCATGTGCACCAATGGGCATTAAGCATATTTTGCTGGCATCAGGAAGGGGGGGATGAGTTGTAAATTTGTTTTCCATCTAATAGAGACTAGCCAATTTTATCATCAGCAAAATTATTTGGAGTGCGCTTAAGAACAATTTTTTTTCTCCCCTGCGTTGCTACATCGAGTTAGTATTATTGGAAGAACACATAATTTGCTTGACACATTTTTCATTATGCTTCAAAACAGCTCGAGTCCACTTTTTTTTTAATGAGCTAATGGCTGATATTTTTCCTGAGCACTGTCTGCCCTTTAGTCATTAAGTAGCAAAATGTTTACTCCAGTAAAATGCATCTTTCTCAGGGATTATTAATCATCGTTTATTGAGAAGTAATCAGTTAGATAGTTTACTTTCCCACCCCTTTTTAAAAATTAAAATGCTGAGATATTCAATTTTATTTATTTATTTTTTTGTTGCGATGAAAATCAAACCAGTAATTACCATATTTACTTTTCATTTATGGGGGAATAATCTGTTTTAATTAAGCCTAACTGAAGAACTTTTATCAGATGTAATTATCCCCGTCGATAAATATGTCTCCACTAATTACATTTAACCATGGGATTTATAGCTCTTAAGTCATTTGGTAGGAAACATAATAAATCTTTAGTAATACATGCTAAATTGCTATAAATTAATTCAGATCATTAACATAATAAACAAATTAGGATAATTTCCCTTAATTAGTTTGGGTGGTTAGCACAAAATCCCAGGCAGAAAACTCAGTGGTGGTAATCAAGACTTTCATCCACAGTTTTTGGAGATATGCTTTTATAATAGATCATTCGAAAAATTCAAACAGAAGCAAGATAGTTTCCACAACACAGCATGCACTTCCTTACCTGAATATTTCATGAACAGACCCGGTTTTTACATTTTACAAACTCAACTAAATGCAAAATCTAAGGTAGTTCACACCTATTACGCTGCAGCACATCAAAACTTCCCAAAAGAATTAACAAGGCTGCAGAACAAAGCTACTTCTTCAACATTATCTGTTGTAGTCATCAGGCAACATGAAACAGTGTGTAATTTATTCTACTGCACAAAAGAACACCAGTGTCCCATTTGCAGCAGAACAGGGCTGCCATACTTCTTTTGCCAATTCTGTTTCAGGTTAGGGCAGGGGTAGGCAAACTAAGGCCCGGGGGCCAGATCCAGCCCAATCGCCTTCTAAATCCGGCCTGTGGACGGTCCGGGAATCAGCGTGTTTTTACATGAGTAGAATGTGTCTTTTTATTTAAAATGCATCTCTGGGTTATTTGTTGGGCCTGCCTGGTGTTTTTACATGAGTAGAATGTGTGCTTTCATTTAAAATGCATTTCTGGATTATTTGTGGGGCATAGGAATTCGTTCATATATATTTTTCAAAATATAGTCTGGCCCCCCACAAGGTCTGAGAGACAGTGGACCGGCCCCCTGCTGAAAAAGTTTGCTGACCCCTGGGTTAGGGCCTTTGTTTGTTTGTTGCATTTATATTCCACCCCTCAAGGTGGTGTATATGGTTTCCCCCCTCTTCATTAAATCCTCACAGCCTTGCTGTGTAAGTTAGTCTGTGACTGGCCCAAGGTCACCCAGTGAGCTTCATGGCCAAGTGGGGGATTTGAACCCTGTTTCTCCACCCCCATCGTTCTGCCCAGACACTGAGGTCCAGCGCCAAGGGCCTTCTGGCGGTTCCCTCACTGCAAGGAGTGAGGTTACAAGGAACCAGGCAGAGGGCCTTCCTGGTAGTGGCGCCCTCGCTGTGCAACAGCCTCCCATCAGATGTCAAGGAAATAAAAGCCATTTCCGAACTGGAGAGGAGAGGGGGTTGCGGGCTACCCCCTCCCACACACGCGGGGGCTGGCCTTTTTGCCCCCGCGAGAACAAGGGAATCCCCGGGCGTGCCTGCAACCCTGCCCGCCAATCGGCGGGCTAGGGAGGCGTGGCCTGGCCCATTTAAGGCCAGGCACGACCGGGGACCACCCTCTTTGCCCCGTTCCAGCTGACTCGGTCAATGACGCGATCCCCCAGGAACTTTGTACTGTGAAATACGCCTCCTTTGACCAAGCAGTTAAAATGATTCGCAGATTTGGGCAAGGGGCACTTCTAGCCAAATGTGACATCGAGTCGGCGTTCCGCCTTCTTCCCGTCCATCCAGCTGACTTCCATTGGTTGGGCTTTAGATTTGAGGGAGCGTATTTCATTGACAAAGCAATGCCCATGGGCTGCTCTGTGGCTTGCTCAGCCTTTCAGTCGTTCAGTACATTTCTCGATTGTGCCCTACGCTTCAGGACAGGGTCGGTGGGCGTGTCGCATTACCTGGACGACTTTATTTTGGTGGCAGATAATAGGCAACGATGCTCCGCCCTCTTGGAGGCTTTCACAGCCCTGACAGGGGAGCTGGGGGTGCCACTGGCCGCCGAGAAAACGGAGGGTCCAGCCACTTCCTTGGTCTATCTGGGCATTGAGTTAGACACCGTGGCACAAACATCTAGGTTGCCCGAGGAAAAACTGTTCGCCCTTAAGGCACTGATACAACAGCTATTGCCCCTAAAGAAGGTTACCCTAAGGCAAATTCAATCCCTGCTAGGTCACCTAAATTTCGCTTGTAGGGTAGTGGCGCCAGGTCGGCCCTTTTGTGGCCACCTGGCCAGATTGTCGGCAGGTCTCAGGGCACCACAGCATAGGGTGCGCCTCTCCAAAGAAGTTAAGCAGGATCTGGGAGTCTGGCTATAATCCCTCGACAGGTACAACGGTATATCCTTATGGCAAGATTCCATGGCACTCAATGCCAACTTCCAAGTCCAATCAGATGCGGCAGGTTCCTTGGGTTTTGGAGTTTATTTCAGGGGCCAGTGCTGTGCCCAAAAGTGGCCGGCAGACTGGCAGGGCAAGCCCATTACTCGGGACCTTACATTTTTGGAATTTTTCCCCATTGTAGTAGCAGTACATCTTTGGGCAGAGCAGTTCCGCAATCATAGGGTTTGTTTCAACACAGATAACCAGGCGGTAGTAGCGGTTCTTTCTAGACAGTCCGCGCATTCCACCAGGGTGGGAAACTTGTTACGGTCCCTCGTCCTCCTGTGTCTTGAGCAGAATATATATTTTTCAGCCAAATTCGTACCTGGCATTAATAATGACATCGCGGATGCTCTGTCTCGTTTTCAGATGGAGCGCTTCCGCTCATTAGCGCCGGATGCGGAACAATCATCGATGCCTTTCCCGGAGCATCTCTGGAGTCTTGGGAGCAAGAAGTGATGAAGGGAGTATTCGGTGCAGTTGCCCCTTCCACAATGAGATCATACAAGAAAGCGTGGGCTGACTTCCTAAAGTTCCGCAACAGAGTACCCAGCACGAGGCAGAATTCCATTCCCTCAACGAGGGAGGTCCTCCGCTACTTAGCCCACCTGAAGGAGCTGGGCAGGGCACCAAAGACTCTTAATATTCAGTCCGCAGGGATCTCATATTTTTGTAAAGCCTTATTTGCCACCGACCCGTGCGCTGAATTTATAGTGCATAAGACCTTAGAGGGTTGGCGCCGGCTCCAGCCTCCCAGCACTGACAAGAGGAGGCCTTTAACTTTCGATATTCTGACCCAGATACACAAAAAATTACGATCAATATGCTGGTCAAAATATGAAGCTCGCCTTTTCTCTGCTGCTTATTCCATAGCCTTCTTTGGTGCCCTTCGCATAGGGGAGGTAGTCTGTGAGGGAGGGGTTGCCCACTGCCAGAGGGGCATCCTCTTAAGTGACCCGACCCTATCTAGGACTGACCTAATCGTTCAAGTACAGAGCTCTAAGACGGACCAACAGGGCAGGGGGGCCCTCCTTCGGTTACCAGCCGCGCAGGATAGCGGACCCTGCCTGGTTAGGGATGCAAGGCATTTCCTCTACTTAAGACCCAATAGTCCTGGCCCTTTCTTAATTCATGCGGATGGATCACTCTTGACCAGACACCAGTTTACACGGGTGATGCGCATGGCTTTGGCAGCATGTGGGCTGCCCGCGGTGGAATTTGCGGCTCACTCCTTTCGGATTGGGGCAGCTACCACCGCAGTACACCTCGGGCTCTCGGCCGAGAGGATAAAGGACTTGGGGCGGTGGAAATCTAATGCGTACAAAGCTTATGTGAGAAAGAATCTATGACTAGCGGTTGAGCTCCTGACCTTGGTTTTTCTGTCTATTTGCTTTTCAGAATACACGAGGGTGCGCATTTGGTTGGTGGGCCACAGCATTGTGCATTGGGCCAAGAATCGAGCCATGAGGACCGGGTTGGGGCAAAACTTGAACTTACCTGAAAATGTTGAACTGGCATGGTTAGCATGAAGGGGGATGCGCTGGAGCGAATTCAAGCCAGCCGTGATGGCGAGAGCCGCCGCTGAGGGCCCACCTGATGCCCTGGTCATCCAGCTAGGGGAAAACGACCTAGCGTACCGCAAAGCTATTGACTTGAGATGGAACATTTTTGACGATTTTGCTGATCTGATGGCGGCTTATCCAAACATTACTATATTGTGGTCCTCGTTGCTTGAGAGGAGGATATGGAGGGATAGTGTGAGCCCGGTTGGAATCAATAAAGCAAGAAAGGTCTTGGAGCCGGCTGTGGCACGTAGAGTGGTGGCTCTGGGCGGGTGCCCTCTACAGCCGGGATGGTGTGCATCTGTCAGATGCTGGAAACGATATTTGGTTGGGGGACATCATAGCAGGGATTAGGAATTGGTTACAGGTTTGAAGGTATTGGCAGCGAGCTTTGCTCGATTGGCGGTTAGGCATTGGCAGGGGTAATTGTTATGCAAATGAAGGGGGAAGGAAGCGCCATCACCTTCCCCCAATGAAAAGGGTAGTCCGGTAGAGGACTCCAGGGGGCGTTGCCTTGTCCGAAACCTAGGGAGGTAAGGGCCTCCGGCACACCCCCGAGCGGTGACACCCGTGGGATCCTAGTTGGCGTACTTCAACAGGACCCCCACGGCTTGTGGATAACCCTTCCCGGTCTCCATGCCAGGTAGTCGATAGGAGCCAATGCCTAAGGCCAATACCTTCCTATTCCTGTAATCAATAAAGTTGTGGCCTTTTTATGCCCATTAACCTTAAATAATGTGTCCTGTGTCTTCATTTCACATGGGGGAGGGGACTTGCCACGCAACAACTATCTGACTTTTAGAAGAAATCTGAAGGCAGCCCTGTTTAGGGAAGTTTTTAATGTTTGATGTTTTATCGTGTTTTTGATATTCTGTTGGGAGCCACCCAGAGCGGCTGGGGAGGCCCAGCCAGATGGGCAGGGTATATGTAATAAATTGTTGTTGTTGTTGTTGTTGTTGTTGTTGTTATTCCCAGGTCCTAATGTGACACTCTGCCATTATACCATGCAGGCTGGTGGATCGCTTGAGCTCTGGAACTTGGGGTTGCTGTGAGCTATACTGACTCGGGTTGAATCTACACAGATATAAAGAAGGCTGTGAAAATGCTTTTTAAAATGACATTCTCCCAGTAGCCATCTAAAAGCATTTATAAACTGCATGATATTTTATATTTTATTTTAAAACTCTCTAGGCGGTGCACAATATAAAAGCACACAATATCATTAAAACAAAAAAATGCAACCTAAAACTAAATGGCTTTTGCCCTGTATACCTGAAGGAGCGTCTCCACCCCCATCATTCAGCTCAGATGCTGAGGTCCTCCTCCAAGGAGCTTCTGGCGATTCCCTCACTGAGAGAAGCCAAGTTACAGGGAACCAGTGGCACCCGCCTGGTGGAACGCCCTCCCGTCAGATGTCAAGGAAATAAACAACCATCCGACTTTTAGAAGACATCGGAAGGCAGCCCTGTAAAGGGAAGCTCTTTATGTTTGACGTCTTACTGTGTTTTAATATGTTGGAAGCCACCCAGAGTGGCTTGAGTAACCCAGTCAGATGGGTGACTTATAAATAAACCATCATCATCATCAGTGCTTTTTTTTCTGGGAGGACGCGGGGGGGACGCATACCCCTAAACATTTTGTGAATCTAAGTTTGGCCTCATTGAGGGGCGGGTGGCGCTGTGGGTTAAACCACAGAGCCTAGGGCTTGCCGATCAGAAGGTCGGCGGTTCGAATCCTCACAACGGGGTGAGCTTCTGTTGCTCGGTCCCTGCTCCTGCCAACCTAGCAGTTCGAAAGCACGTCAAAATGCAAGTAGATAAATAGGTACCACTCCAGCGGGAAGGTAAATGGCGTTTCCGTGTGCTGTTCTGGTTTGCCAGAAGCGGCGTATTCATGCTGGGCACATGACCCAGAAGCTGTACGCCGGCTCCCTCGGCCAATAAAGCCGGCGTACAGCTCCCTCGGCATATTCATGCTGGCCACATGACCCAGAAGCTGTACGCCAGCTCCCTCGGCCAATAAAGCGAGATGAGCGCCGCAACCCCAGAGTCGGCCACGACTGGACCTAATGGTCAGTTTACCTTTAGGAAAATGAGAGTACCCCTAAACATTACTTTTTTTAGGGGGGGAAAGCACTGATCATCATCATTATTACAATAAAACAGCAGCATAAGTTTATCTCACTGCACCACTACTGGAAAAATGTTCCCAAGTCTGATAGAAGAAGAAGAAGAAGAGTTTGGATTTGATATCCCGCCTTTCACTCCCTTTAAGGAGTCTCAAAGCGGCTAACATTCTCCTTTCCCTTCCTCCCCCACAACAAACACTCTGTGAGGTGAGTGGGGCTGAGAGACTTCAAAGAAGTGTGACTGGCCCAAGGTCACCCAGCAGCTGCATGTGGAGGTGCGGAGACGCGAACCCGGTTCCCCAGATTATGAGACTACCGCTCTTAACCACTACACCATACTGGCTCTGATATAGCTGAATTGTGGACAGCTCGGTTGAAACCAGAGTTGTGCAAGTTAACATGTATTGTGCTAGTTAACAACAGTAGTAGGAAAATTAGGAGCAGGGGTGGGAGGGGAGAGAGAGAGAATGCTCAGCAGGAGCAGAAACACCAAGAAGCATTCGTTAGAGTGATGAAACAATAAAAAAGAGAAAAGATTCAGAGAAGTCTAGAGGTGCCCTGCTGTTCATTTGGCACAACTTGTTATAGGGAAAGAACAGTTTGAGGAAGTCGGTATCAAAATCTTGCCAAATGCCTGGTATTTGGAGATGAAGTCAGCACACCCGTGTGTGCTATCTGATGTGGTTTCTGATGCTCTAGCCCATCCACTACAGCCTTCATACTTTGCCTCTGTGCTCATAATGGGGCAGGTGCCTGCCAAGAGCTCAAACGCATTGTGCACACATGGGCTGTTTGCCACCGTTATGTGCTTCACTTTCCGTGAAGAACAAATCATAGTCTTTGAGGTCGATCCTGTTAAGATCGTCCTACTCTTGTGTAGGACCCTGGCAGAGACACATGCCCGACTGGCATGTTCTCTCCCTCCTGGTCAATCATTCGGGAGCCTCAAAAGCTTTCTTCAGCCCGAACTTCACAGCAACTGATACCAAGAAGCATCAGCACACTTAAGGATCTGCAGAGTATTCGCAGTTTGCGTAACAGTAGCACAGCATTTTGGCTAACTAATGTTTATTTACATATAATACACTTGGAGCATTCTGCTTTAGCTCCTTCCTTAGCAAAGAGAGAAAGACACAAAGGACAATAGTCCTACATTCTGGAACACAGTAGCATCATAACATCCGGTCTCCGTCACTTCCCACACTGTGGAATGAAAACATATACCGTCATGTGATAGATAACAATCTCATGACTGCAAACATGAAGCAAGAATCCTAACAGATCCTGCCTTCCCTGCCTGCAGTCAATGACTTCCGCTTGCAAGGCAAAGCTCTGACCCATCAAAGTTCGAGGCATCCCGCTAGTTTTCAGTGCATTTCCCCATCACTTTCCTTACAGCAAAAAGCCAGTTTCTTTTTTAAAGCGGACTTGCTCCACTAGAGCGGCAGAGTGCTTCAACCCACTTTAATTACGTACACGGGTGGCGCTGTGGGTTAAACCACAGAGCCTAGGACTTGCCGATCAGAAGGTTGGCAGTTCGAATCCCTGCGATGGGGTGAGCTCCTGTTGCTCAGTCCCTGCTCCTGCCAACCTAGCAGTTCAAAAGCACGTCAAAGTGTAAATAGATAAATAGGTACCACTCTGGCGGGAAGGTAAACAGCATTTCCGTGGGCTGCTCTGGTTCACCAGAAGTGGCTTAGTCATGCTGGCCACATGACCCGGAAGCTCCCTTGGCCAATAAAGCAAGATGTGCGCCGCAACCCCAGAGTCAGCCATGACTGGACCTAATGGTCAGGGGTCCCTTTA